TAAGGTGTAGTTTCCTTCTCCCAGACTAAGAGGAGACAGGTTACTGTACTCAGTGTAGTTATGTTCAAAAGTCATAAAATGTTTTGGGGTTATTGAACTCATCCCTGTGTCTTGAGTACTACCATGTTAAAAGTCAGGAACGGATCTTTGGAAAGTTCCTCTACTGCAAGTCCAAATGTTTGACTGTCATCACTCCCTCATTCTACTATAAAATTTGTTTTTGCTGAGGTTGGGGAAGAAAAATTACAAGGAATTTTTTCCCACTGTTTCCAGTAATTGCTATATAGGATTCACCTCTTGTTTTTCACGTGGTTTTGCCTTATTTATATGACCTTCTGAAAATGTCATGCTGTGTCAGATATATTTAATACATCTAGGGTGTCTGTGCCATTCTTCAGGGTGTGCAGATGGACAGCTGTGAATCTACTGGTGGAAGGGCAAATGAAGTTGTAGGCATCCCACTAGTGCCACTAGTTACAGTCTTATGCTGTGTGATGCCAGTTGCATCATGCTTCCCCCATTCAAACTGGGGTTGTCTTCCCTCCTGAAAGTGTGTTTCCTCCACCATTTCTAATTCCAGAAATTCAGTGTGGAACACCTTTTGTGTGTGATATCAGCTAGGAATTTTTTTCTTATCCACAGACCTCATGTCTCCATATGTCTATTGAAAATTTTTCATGAAAAACATCTAAGAACAAAGATTTGTGGCTCTTCCTGCCAAACTGTGGCTCTGCAAGTTTCTTAGGTCTTTTGAGTGAGGCTTGGCTGAGGGCAGGTGAAATTGATAAAAAATGAAAGACAATTTAAAATGTGTAGCCAGCACATTGTAACTGCTGCCACACCATACTTCCCAGAGGTTTTATTGCCATCTCCTTTATTTTGTTTCTCTTTGTTCTGTTTGTTTCCAGTTCTTCAGATTAGTACAATAGAGCACTTAGCATGGTAGTATCCAAACGAGATCTTCGGATCCTAAGGTATAGTTAGAGACTTCTGTAGCAAATGTCCTTGGAGGGAGCAGATGTCAAACTGGGTCATGCAAGGCAGCTTTTTGCAAGCTGGATGTCTTCCAGAGACTCTTGTTGCAAGTCAGACTATCTGCTACTGCTTTCCCCGACATATGGAGTTTCTTACACACCCCTGAAAAGAGTGGAGATCTCCCAAGCATCTAGTCTACCTGCAAGAAGGTTTCAGCACTTCAAAAGACAGTAAATTTTTGTTTCAAGAAAGGATCAGAACATGGTTACAAAGACATTCCCCAGTCATTACACTACGTGCATTGCACAAAGCCTGTAAGATTTCCCCGTGGCTGCACAGCAAATCTTTGTTTTGTCTGCTTCCTGAAGAGGATAATAACTTCAGGAGAAAAAAAGAAATCCTTCCTGATGAATGTCAGGAAATCTCTGATTTGTTATGACTCAGCTGGCTTCTTTCATCAAGTGATGTACATGCACTGGCCATGATATATTATTGTAATGCCTCGTGCTGATTTCTGGGTGTGATGAATGAATATCTGTAAACAGTTAGTGAGAAATGTCTGAGTGTTGGCAGACCAGGAGTCACCTTTGCTTTCTGCAACATGCATAACCCTTACATGTAATTATTCATTGCATCGGTCTCTGTGGACAGCAATGAGGTATCATCTTGCCTAGCCAACTAGGTGGAATGAGAGACAAAGAACACACAAAGACCACTGCCCCTGTGAAAGGAGGAGAAATAAATCTTTGTCCTCAGAAGATACCACTTGAAAGACTGGTATTCCTTGGTATAATTCAACAGTGCCAGCATGTACCACAGGGGTCAGGGTTTCTGTCTGAAAGCTGTTCATTAAGTCTGCAGGATGTGGGAAACCAATAATTTGGGGAGGGGGGTTTTGCCACAAACCACAGCTGTAAAGAAACATCTATTCTGTACTAGATGTAAAGGTCCTTGTCCCTAAGTGTATTTTCCACCAAATCATAGCCCAGTACTGGAAAAGGCCCAGCTGCTTGGTTGGATGCTTTCAGACCATCTCTGCCATCCTCCCTGTGCAACCTAGCCCTAGATAAGGATGTTCTAAAAGCAGCTGAGTAACTGAGGTCTGTAATCTTTGAAATTAGTCCTTCCTGAAAACACGCTGTGACATCCGAAGTACTGTACTATAATCTTTCTTAAATTATGGGATAAGTGTCATCTCAGATGCATTACTGTCATTTAGAGAAGTAAGAAAATGGCAACCATTAATCAGCAATTTTAATTTGCTGTATTTCATGTTGATGTATCTGAATTAATTTCTAAGACAATCTATTTCCCAATAAGTAAAACTGTCTCATCTCTTTTATATTGACTTGTTGCATGATAAAGGGTCTTGCATTTGTACGGGGCATCTGAAGCCTCTCTTCAAGAGAGAACAAAAGACACTGGGCTTTGTTGCTTCCATCTATCTCTTCTGGAGCTGCATCAAAAATGAACCAGGGCTTAAATGACTTCCCTGTATACAAAAGAAAATACTGGTGAAGCAGAGAACTGAAAGTCCAGGTGTTCTTTTACTAAACATCATAGTACGCATCTTACTTATTAATTTTATACAGCTTTTGACCAAGATATTCTAGTGATTTTGAATGTAAAAAAAAAAAAGTATGTTATTTTTAAAGAATTAGAAGGCATATTTTCCTCCTTGCATTGTATCCAAATTGCTGCTGTTACTCTAAACCACAATTAATGTAGGTTACAGGCAGCCCACACAACCATCTATTATTTTGCACTACCACAAATCAGTATAGTTTTGCAGATGTGTAGATACCACACTGTTGGCTCCATATGTATTGAAAACTATTTTCTTGATTGATTGAATTGCCTTTCAATAACCTATTAAGAGAAGACAACCCAACACGATAGAGCTGATGTTTTGCATGCCACTAGGAACACTGGTAGTGAGTAAGAAACCTTTTCTGCACAATGGAGCTGGCCCTAGAGCTGCATCCTGCTCACCCTGTGGTACTTAACCTGCCCAGCATTGGACTCGGGAGCATACTGAGAACGTCTGCCTCGTAAGACATTGCAATGGATCCTGTTCTGTCATGAGATGGCTGTAGTGATTTCATTTACAAAGTAGTCTGAGCCTGGAGACCTCCCGTGTTTCTGCTCTGATGAGGACACTAGGCAGAGGTAAGGAAAGCTTCAGAGCAGCGTAGAAATTTGGTAGCTACAACAAAGAGCGACCCAGGACAGAGCAGAACAGAGCTATGATTTGCCAGAGGAGCAGACAGGTATGTTTGTCTTTTGTATCTTTTATTACTTTTGGACATGGTCCATTTTGTTTTACTGTGTGTATTGATGTCTGTTGGTTATGGAAAGGTGAAACTCGAAGCAGCTTATCCCAGTTCACACAGTGGTAACAGGGATGTGCTGTTGCTTTTTGTAAGTGCAGTGAGATAGAGACCATCCAACCCAAAGACCGGGGAACAAAGACTCATTTAGTCTGCAAAGTCTATTTTTTGCTGAAATATCACTGTGCATTCCTGTACTTAATGAAGCAGTATTCCTTGCAGAGCTCTGCAGTGCACCTGAGCCCGAAAACCAAGGTGTTCAAGTTCAGGTCTAGGCCTCTTGCATGCTATAACAGAGTATGGCACAGAGAAGCAAGGACTACACAGGTGGCTGTTTGATCATCTGTGTCAGATCTGCCTTATGGCAGTGCAGAATAGGTTTTTTCATTCTTTCTAAACATTGATCTTTGTTAGAGACAGAAAGTGTGCTGCAATTGTTTTCATCAGCTTTTGTTTGTTCCTTCGAACAACAAAAGGGAACTGTTGGGAGCTGTATTCAGTGTTGGCAATGAGGATCCCACTTCTTTTTCCCCCCATTGTCTTCCTCAATTTGCTAGCTAGTAACAGAGCATATAGAGAACTGCTCTCTGCCTTCTCACACAAGTGTCCTGAAATGTTTTGGTAAGCCTGTGCCCTGGAGTGTGCTCAATATATTATTAACCCCATCTAGATAGTATAGTTTGTTACTGAATTAGAGCTAAAACACCCTTAGAAAAGCTATTTTAATTGTAAGAAAATAAATTCACATCCTGTCTCACTAATCTAATTCTCAAATGTTGCTAGGGAAACGGAAAGCTGGACAGAGAAGCAGTAATTGAAATGTGTCTGTTTGGCTTCAAGGATTATGGTACCCATGAGACTACCTTTGTCCTTACTGGTTGGACACCCCAAGACTTTTCTCCCCTGATTTTCCATTGCCATTTTACCTCCTTTCCAAGGAGACAAATGTCTTGGTCCTTCTGCCACCCCTCCCTGCCACTGAGGAGCAGCAGTGAACAAGGGCTAGTAAGACAGACCCACCTCAAGGGGCTTGCCAGGGTTAATGCGTGGGTGGTTCTGATGCGCTCCAAGTGCCACGTAGGACTGTGAGCTGTGCAAGCGTTCTAGCTCAGCTCTTTGCTGCTCCCCCTCCTTGGGTTGTTGTTTCCCCCCCCTTTACTAGCGAGGAGGCCCTTCAATTGGGTGGGTAGCAGAGCCAGCCCAGGGCTCAGGAGGAACAATGACCAAAGAACAGACTGCAGCTTGTAAACCAAAACCTCCCCAGGGGCTGCTGCTAAAAGGAGATTAGAGAGAATTCCTACGCCAATTGGCATCTGGATTTCCCCCCGCTCCCCCCATTGCAGCCACTAAATTTCTGGCCTGTCTATCAGCACCGTAGTGTAGTCGTAATGCATTTATCTGCTCCCTGCTTGGGCAGGCACAGGGAAGAACAGGCACGGAGGGCTGTACAGGGCACTGTAATACACTAGTGCTGCAGGACTGATCAGAGCTCCACCTTTCATCATCACCCTGATGACAGGTCAAAGAGCCCCAGACAGATGAAAAGGATAAAGCTAAGCACTGGGAGTGTCCCTATCAGAGCGTGTGTGCCCCAGCCAAAATGTCACAGGGGCTGGCAGGCTCCTCCACTGACCCTCCCTTGCTAACCTCTAGCCAGCTGGTGATGGTGCGGGAAGGGTTGTGTACAGTTTATTAAGATGTTTGAGATTACATGTTAGGGCAGCTTCATGTGAGGTGTGTGGAAGCAACCACTGTTATGAGGTCTTGATGGAAGAGCTAAATTCTAAGCTGACCATGGAGAGCCTTGGCCACAAGTGATTAACCAGCTAGGTATCATTTTACACTCAGTTGCTGGGGGCCAGGAATTGGGAAGGGACAGGGAGGAACCTCTGTGGTCTTTAGAACATGACTTTTAAGTAGTTGTGGTTTGGAGCATCAGAGAGGCAACCTCTGAGTCTCATGTGGCATGCGAGCACTGGAGATTTCTACCTTTGGGAGTATCTACAGCTGAAAAAGCCCATACTTTTCAAAGAGTACATTTCTTGCCTGGGCAACATCTATGAGCTTTTTATGACCATCTGCAATGTTCATGGTAAATTGGGAGGAGGGGTGTGTTATTTACCTGTGTGTACAAGTCTGTACTGGCAGACCATATATACTCCAGTGGACATAGGCCATTTGTCAGCTGTGGCAACTGCACTGCCCAGGTTATTTAGAGTATTGTCGAAAGTGTGTTACATTTGCAGGGAACTTTATATGAATCTGTCAAAAGCCAGTGCCAGAGATGATGTACCTGTCTGAAGGACTAGGGTGGGACAGGGCACATATACACCAGGCACAGTTTGAGGGTACCAAAGAATTTCCATTCTGGGGTTCTCTGGCTGACCTAAATTCTGTCTGTTCCTTTGAAGAGATGTTTTGGAAAGATTTTAGACTGACTGAGTGTGCCACAGCAGTAGCAGTTTAAAAACAGCAAATTATCTAACCCTCCAACAAACAACTTGCTTGTGAAAAAAAGAGCATCTCCCCCCCAAATATTTATTTTTTACAATGTTTTTGAGATTACTATTTTTTAAGTCTTGGCAGGTAAGGCCTGGGCCACGTTCAGGTCATTGTGCAGAACAGGTGCAGAATACCCCAAAGCACCTCTCAAACCACAACAAGATGTCCTCAGCATGTATCAGCTCACAAATGAATGGGCCAGATATTCAGGTACCCACAGATATTGCTCCTGTCCTGACCCAGAACCCATCTCTCAGAAACTCCAGGAAGGGAAAAGAGCTGAATGGCGACATCAGTCCCTCTGAAAATGGACTCGGCACCCTCTTTCCTTGTATTTGCCCACCCTCAGCAGGCTGGCTGGGAGCCTTGCAGTTTGCATTTAGAAACCAATAGCCAGGACCTGCCAACTGAACTTACAGGTTTGGCAGACATAGAATTTCAGATGCAAGACTCCTGGATCACAGCTCTGAGGAATGAAAGTCTAAGTGTATCTCTGAGCATTTCTTCTCTCAGCAGCTTCCCTTCTTGGTGGATTTCCTTTCTCTAAAGAAACTTCTGGGGTTTCCTCCTACAGGGGAAACCTTTAATTCTTCAGGCCAGTGGGGAGGGCTGAGGTCCTAAGATAGCTAAAGCTAAAATAGAAAGCATCCCCATTTCCATTCCCCCTTTCACTTGCTCTTTCTCATTCCTCGCTTTCCCAGCTCAAACACCCAGCATTCAAATACACAGCAGTTCCTCCACCCTCTCCTTCTCTTCCACACCAACTGTCCAGCCATTTTGGAGAGTGTGGCCTTCGTGTCACCAAAGTAACTCCCAGAAGGAACATGACACTGTCAACAAGACCAAGAAATGTTCCAGAAGAGATCCCCAAGGGCTGCCAGACCCTAAACCACAGGGTTTGGCACTCAGCCCTCAGCATGTAGTCTCTGACCCCCAGTTCCTTTTGTGTTGGACTGGGAGCAGGAGAGTGGGTGCTGACAGTTCCTTTCTTGGCTTTGGGTGGGCCAGGGTGCCTTTCAGCTGCACTTGCAGGATTTCACCACCATGTTGGAGAGCTGCTCCACTTTGGGGGTCCTCCCAACATAGTACAAGATAGTGAGTGGCTCCAGGTCCTGGGGAACACAGCAGGGTGAAGCAGATGCCTCAGGGTTCAGCGTGTTGTATAAGCCCAGCACCTGCAGAAACAAAGTAAATGAGGTGACAAAGTCAGGAATACATTTCAAGCTGGTTGAGGACAGGAAGGGACTGCAAAGCCAAGAAGTCTCTAGGTGTTTGGACTATGCTCATCAGAGGGCATTTCCCTGAGGTGGGTAATACTCCCCCGTCACCTCCTGATCATGGCCTGCTTCTGAAGGGTCTCATCTGCCTGGCCTGACACTTAAGACATTTTTCTAAATTGTAGTAGCCTCTCTCTGTTGTGGCTGATGCCTAAGGGTTGAAGGAGTGCAAGTAGTTGTCTCCTTTCCTAATCGTTCCTAATTTGGTACAGTGGATAGTGTAAAAATTTTTACTTTTAACAAGGCTGCATGTAACCAGCCTTGGGCCATGTTGTCTTGGGTTCCATTAAAGAAACCAGAAGAAAGAACATCAGTGCTGCTTATTTTAACCAGCATCTCTAGATAGTACTGGATGAATGCCAATCCTCTCAAGTATCCACAGTTCCTTCCCAGCTTTGAACTGTCTGATGCTTTCTCCCTCTTCCATCCTCCAAGTCATTACACTATAACGCTGGAGCCAGGAGACTGTCCTGTGGGACCCCACTGGATTCCTCTTCCCAGCTGGCCCCAGCCCACAGATGACTGTACTCTTCAGCCATGTAACCGCTACAGAACAGTTGCCTTGTTTCCTGCCAGAGGTGGCCACTTCTCAGCGGTAAGCAACTTCTTGAGTTGTGGGGCCAAAACATGATCTCACCTGCACTACTGTGGTCTTATTAGTGCTTATCTGGTATAAAGGACAGGGTCTGGCACATTGTCTTTTAACTACTTAAGTGTCTTTGGGGATAAGAGGTGCTGAGGAAACATCCTGTTTTATCACCCAGATCTATATAGTCGCAGTTGTTCTGATAGAAGCTCCCTGGGATACTGTCTGTACCACAGGGGTACCATGTGCTCTGGGGCACTGACAGTAGGTTAAAGAGACTGGTGAGAAATCTTTTTTTCACCAGGTTTTCCTAGGTGGTACTGGCAAGCTGTCAGCAACTATATTGTTCTAAAGGTTTCTTGGATCACACAGCTGACCTTAATGCTTGATCGTTTCCTTTCTTGCTCAAGAACAGAACATTAAGAACCATTCTAAAAATCTCCTTTCACATTGATTCAGTCCAGTTATCTAGAGAGTTTCTCAGGACAACCAGATGGTAAAGCTACATGCAGATTACCCTTTCAAAGCTGTTCATTCCCTTGCTTTGTCTTGTGCTTAATGCTTAGCATCTGTTCACTCCTTCATTCTCATAGCTTTGACTGTTCCCACTGATATTAGTCCTTGAGCTTCAGCAAGCCTTGCTGCTCTGCAGACTCTCAAGCTGTCAAGAAAATGTTAGCATCTTTTCTGCAGTATCATCTTTACCTAGTTAGCTGTTCTTCAGCCAAATCTGATTTTTCCAGTAACTTTTTTTAGTGAAACCTGAAGCTAAGCTGCTAGTGAGCTGTTGTATTGTCTGGATTGCTGCCTTTTCTCTTCTGTGCACAGAATCACAGCATTTTCTTCTGGCTTTTCTTGCTTCAGTGATGGCTGCCTGCTCCTTAGTCTGTCTTCTCCCCTTGGTACTTCTGCCATGCCTGTGCTTTCCTATTGCTTTTATTTTCTTCTACTCTAGACAGTGGCCAGGCTCAGGTGGTATTCTTCCCAAAGACTGCTCTGTGTACTCATGTTAAACAGAGGTTATGCATCAGTTACCTAAAGACATTTGCTTTCTGCCAGTTTTGACTCATGAATCTCACTGCCTAGTAGGTTCCTCCCTGTCGTAGGTCAGGTAGGATTTACACAGGTGGAAAGGATGCCTGTGCAGAAAGGAGTGCTTACTGCATGGCTGTGTTCACTTCTGGGTACGGACATGGATTTCCCTTCACTTTCAGGCTACGGCTGCCCCTATGGTAGCAGATGGCTGTGTGCCATTGCACAACAGTTTTGCATGACAGCCTGGCACAGAGTGCAGAAAAATCCTCTGTCCAGTGCAAACTGCAGGAGAAATTCAGACAAAAGATAATTACCAGAGTTGACGTTTGATGTGAACAACTCCGTTAATACTCTGGCCATCACCAAGTAAGTACCCTAAAACCATCAGTCCTGGTGTTTCACACCTTATCCAAGAGACAGCATCCTCCTCCTCCCCAACATCTGGATG